AAGGAAAAGATAATAACCGCATAATTTTTTTAAAAAATAGTTGTTTAATGAATGGTGTTACCCATAACAACACCTGATGTATTTTGAGTACTTTAAACAATTATGAATTTTACGTCATACAACATAAATTAAATTTATCACAGTGATCATCAAATTGTGACATAAATAGAATTTCCACTATGCTATTGCAAGTAAAAAGTTTATGTGCTGAATTTAAAGAAGTTAAATTCTTTATTTCCTTGATATTAATTGAGGCTTTTATATTCACTTTATTCAATTATGAATATTATGAATTAAAATTTAGTATTAAAAAATGATCTGCAAAGAATTTTAAAATAATTAAAACAAATAAAATTCAAAGCCTTATAACTTTTAAACCATTAAATATATTGAAGTAAGATTATGTTTATTGAATTATTTTCATCATGGTCTTTAAAAAAATGAAGCCCCCTTTTCATTTTTCTTAATATTAATTAGGTTTTTGTAATAAGTTTCTACCTTAATTTATATGAAATTAAAAAAAAGCTCTTCATTTTTTTATTGTCCTATGGTTCAAATATATATATCCTTAATTTGAAATGTGTAACATATTTTCTTCAGAAGTTATAAGAGTGTGAGTTTTACATTTTTTTCACCATTGAAAAATTTGAAAAATGATTGCCATTAAAAAATCCTTAATAATGAAAATTAATATATGGCTTCATATTAGAGATGCGATCCATGGATGGTCAATCTGGATATCCGCAAAACAATCCAGATGGACGGATGGCTTTTTTAAAGTGCTAACGGATTGCAGATTGAAATAGGAGTTTGGGTTTTACATTTTTTTCACCATTGAAAAATTTGAAAAATGATCGCCATTAAAAAATCCTTAATAATGAAAATTAATATATGGCTTCATATATGTTGTAACACATATGATATTGGACCCCCCAATCCTCTTTGTTAAAATGTTGTGATGTGAAAATAATGGTAATGATACGATAATCTTTCAGGTTTTTATTGTAGATTTGGCAATAGTAGCACAATTTTTTTTGCATTCATTTTCTATGTCCATTATGGTAATAGTATCAGAGAAATTATGCCACTTTTCCTGTAAACCCATAATAATTTTTTGGGATTTGGATGTTTGTCGCACTAAAAAGATATCAGCAAATGGAGCTGCCTTCCCATTGATAAATAATATATCATTGGATTCAAAAGACATTTCA